TGATAGTCCAAGCCCACAATTCCATGTTTTCAGATTCCCTGCAAAAACCGACTCATAGGAATCCCCCGAATAAACGGACCAAACGGACATTTGTCCGTCTGTCCGATCGGACGTGTCGAACTGCTTCTATCAAGGAGTTTCCAATGAATGGTCTCCAAGAGAGCATTTTCAACACCTGGATATTGTTCCAAGGTGAACGATGAAAACGATCCGGCTCAAATCGGGAAAAGAAAGCTGGCACTGTTACTGTTTCAATCCTTTCCACTTGATTGGCAGGGAGATTTTATCAATTCGCGAAATGATCCGGCGAATGACGATAATATTGCGTGGAAAGATATTGTCAGTTGGATGGCGCAGAAGAAAAGAACAGTGGACAGAAAGAAGCTCATGCAGGAGAGTTCTCAACGTTGAACTCGACCTGGTTATTGCACAGACGGTAGAGGCCTTCACCAAAATCGTTTTGGTGGTGGTCGTGGACATGTATGACCAAGCAACAGTTTTCAACCATATCCAAGACCCCCAAACTCTCCAAGATATTCTCAAGGGAATTCACAAGGTTTTCAACGTGGAGGTATTTCCTACCAACAGAACCAAGGACAACTTCAACCAAGAAACCCCTACAATGGTGACAGAGGCCGTGGATTCAATGGCCAGCGCAGTGGACGCTCCCAAGCTGGTCGCTTTCAGCCAGGACAAAACTATCAAGGCAGAGGCCAACCACAGCAACAACAGAGACAAAACTACTATGCTGAGTTGCACTATAATCAAGAAGCTGAAAGCTTTGCTGCGGAAGGCAGCGTTCCTGAATGGAACCAAGACGGAATGTCTTATGGTGGAATGCCAAGTGCCGAGCAGAACCAGCATCAAGAACACTTTTATCAAGCTGAAGAAAATCAGCAACAATGGAACGATCAATTCAACTTTGAACAGGAAGAATATTATCCTGAAGAGTAGGAGGCGCAAGAACATATTTTCTATGATGAGGATTCGCCATTTTCCTTTCATGAAGATCAGTACTGACTCAAAAATACTTGTAAACTAACAGAGCTCCCTAAGCTTCCTAATTCATTTCTGGAACCTGATTTGTCTTCCTTTCTTTCAGCATTGGGGAAATTTGATGATAAAGATGGTCCAATGACTGAAGATGAGAAGGAGTTTCTTTTGAATGATTCTTTGCTTCATATACCTACGCTTGATGAGAAAAAAGAGACTTTCACCTACATCTTTGGTGATTTGGAAGACAATTGGAGGAATTGAAAGTAGAGTATTATTTGATTCAGGAGGATCGCATACAATGATCAATGCAAGGAGGGCAATTCCTAAAAATGCTAAGGTACAAAGTATTCAAAATGCAAAGAAGTGTACTACTGTTGCTGGTGATTTTGTTTCTGACAAATGTGTGAAATTGCAAGACGGAGTCTTTCCTTAATTTGACAAACACCACAGAATCAATTGCAGGTGTCAAGGCAAATGTCTTTGATTCGCCAACGTGCCCACATGATGTCATAATCAGACGCAACCTTCTACACGAAATGGGCTTGGAGATCCAATTTTCAAACGGACAAGTCAAATGGATAGACAAGTTCATTCCAATGAAGGCTCCAGATCATTGGCAAAACCACACAAACTATTCAATGGCGTTGGATTGCGATGTCCTGGATATCTACGATGATAATGATGTTGATGATGCCTTTATCATGGACGCGAAATATGATGCTACATCAGGTGCTGAAGTTGCTGACAGGTAAAAGCATCTAACTGAAGATCAGCGCAAGCTCTTGGCTCAAGCGTTGACGAACACAGACAAGACTTTTGATGGTCAACTTGGCCATTACAAGCATGAGAAGGTTCACTTGGAGCTCATTGAAAATGCACAACCCGTGTTTTCAAAGGCGTATTCAGTGCCCAAGCAACATGGACCTGCATTCCTCAAAGAGTTGAAACATCTACAAGAGATTGCAGTCCTTGAACAAACAGGACCGTCAGAATGGGCATCGCCAACATTCATCATTCCAAAGAAGGACAGTAGGGTGCGATGGATCAGCCATCTCAGACAGCTCAACAAGAATGTCAAGCGTAAAGTATACCCCTTGCCTTTGATTGATGATATTGTTGCACGTTGTTCTGGCTACAAGTATTTCACAAAACTTGATCTCACAATGATGTTTTATTCTTTTGAATTGGATGAGCTGAGCAAGAAACTTTGCACAATAAATACCCAGTACGGTTTGTACCAATACAACCGAATGGCAATGGGATTGAAACCAGCTCCTGATCTTGCTCAATACTATCTAGAAAAAACTCTATGCGACCTAAAAGAAAAAGGTGTTGAAATTTATATTGACGATGTCAGCCTGTTCTCCAATTCCTACGAAGAACATATGGCCTTGATCCAAGAAGTGTTGCAGCAACTACAAGCTGCTGGGTTCAAGATCAATCCATTGAAGTGTGAGTGGTGGTGTGTCCAAGTGACTGACTTCTTGGGCCATTGGTTGACTCCTGACGGTGTCAAGCCGTGGAAGAAAAAGATTGATGCCATTCTCAAGATGTCAGCGCCTACAAATGTAACAGAATTGCGTGCATTTCTTGGTGCTGTTACCTTTTACCGCCACATGTGGCCACGCCGATCTCCTCTTCTCAAACCCCTCACAGAGCTCACAGGCAAAGGAATGTTTGAATGGACTGATGAGTGCGCCAAAGCTTTCGCTGAAATGAAAGCTATCATGGCTAGCAATATAATGATGTGCTACCCCAATCCAAACAAGCCCTTTGAAATCTATACTGATGCTCCTGACCACCAGATGGGCGCTGTGATCATGCAAGGAGGTAAACCAGTCGCCTACTGGAGTCGCAAGCTCAATGCTGCACAAAGAAATTACTCTGTGATGGAAAAAGAAATGTTGGCTGTTGTACATTGTTTGAAAGAGTTTCAATCTATGGTGTATGGAGCCAAATTAACTATTTAATCGGTATAAGTATACAATACCGATTCCAGAAAGTTTTATGTTGTCTGCACTTTCTACGAGTTGCGCCGTAAGAAAACCACGCAAAATTCGTGGCCCGTGTAGACTAACTACGGCACAAAAACCGTTTGGTCTTGGGAAAATAATTCCCGGAAATGTAGTGTTAGTGGTTATAGACTGTGTAACATTTAGAAAAAGGGCGTTCGTATAATTATGATAACTGTGTTGCTACGTCTGTCTGTCTCCAGGCCAAAAAACAGAACGTGAAGCTACTGTATTTTAAAATAAAATTCTGATGACAAATTGTTTCGCACATGAAATTTTTCATGAAATTTTCACAAGTACAGACGGACAAAAACCATATCCATCATTCATACAAGACATTTTTTGCACTTCCACTGCAGTTTGTTGTAGCTTAGAAGTTTTTGAAGATTGGTTTTGTTGGGATTGGAATACATCGGTTTGATCCATTCTTTGGCATCTGTTACGACTGAACTCCTATCATTGTTGGTTGCCTTCTTTGTTGGATTTGAAGCTCCATCAAATATTAGCAGAACACCAAATCCATTTCTTATCAAAAGATCAACATGCTTAACGGTCCGTCCGCCGCTCAAGAAGCCCATTTCATACTATTTTGGCGGGAGACCATCTTCTAAAATCACCCACAGACCTAAAATAAAATTTTTCTCCATACAAAAGTCTTAGCTTAGGTCCATATCTTGCATCCTATTGGGTGGGGCTGTCATCATTATGCTCAGGGAAGGCACTGTAGCTCTAAAAGTTGCCACTAGGACTGTTGTGGACTGAAATTGAAAATTTACAACTTACAAAATGTGCCTGAAATTCATGAAAGAATGCTACAATCCAGCTACTAATCGGAACTCAGATTGCCCATGAGTGATTTCAGGTCACACTGTACTCATAAGGCACCAAAACAACCAATGATCTGAATTGCTGTCCAAAGCATCAATTACCTTCTTGACTGCAGTGAATGTCTAGAGCACAATCATGATGACCCCACCCAATAGGATGTAAGATAAGGACCTAAGCTAAGACTTTTGTATGGAGAAAATTTTTATTTTAGGTCTGTGGGTGATTTTAGAACCTGGGTCTTCCGCCATAATAGGGTCTGACGAGTGGCGGACGTACCGTTAAAAACGTAATTGACAACATGGGTGACTGGAACCTTCCTTTCCATAAAGAATTGTTGAACAGCTGGCTTGTGCTTAAAGGAGCAGCTATGAGCCAACACGAGAGATCGACACCGACAACAGGATTGTGAGGACCACCTGCAGGAAACTTATCATTAAGGCGGGTGCGAATCGTCTTGACTGTGTGTGTAAAGCCTTGTGATGGACGACAATATGCAGCACCATATTTGACACCCATCCCAATGTGATATCTTGGGCTTCTTTCTGGACGTCCAGGTTGTGAAATGAACGTGCAAATGACACATGGCTTATTTGACGGTCCGTTGGTTGATATATTAAGTCATTTTACTATGATTGCTAGCAGAGTAAAGACTTGGAAGGCAAGTTGACATTATGGCAATGTATTGTTGTGTCGGCAAAAATTCGGTGCTATGACCTTGCACGTAAAACTATTTGGCGGAGCGACCGAAGGTCGCGAGGCCCACGATCAGATGCCCCAAAGTAACCCGGATATACAAGATGATGGATGACACTACAAAATCGTTAACCAAATCATTCACGACCATACAGTAGCTACTTGTTTTCACAAGCTTCCTCATAGCGAACGACAAATGAAACTGAGGACGGGAGACAAAGAATAGATTGATGATGACAGCTGCCGGAGGCAGTTGGCAATTTTGATGTGTTTTTCTTGTAATCCAACGAGGTGAAACCACAGTGCTGGCGAGCCTTGTTACCCAAAACCGAGCCATCAAATGAAGAAGAAGACAAGATATGAACTGAAGCAGAGGAAGAAACATACGTTTCGCCAACAATCTACCGCTGTGGGGGCTGAAACGAACAAGGTGGATACTACTGGAGTCGGTGTTGCGCGCAAGGGGAATAATATTGTCTTGCTATCTCCTTGCTCATTGGCTTCGAAGATCGGCATGAGCGCTGCCGTCCACTGTGCAGACTAAAAGAAATGAGAATATCTGAGATTTCCAGACGACGAAGCGGATGGAGGCAAACTCTTGCCAGCAAATGGAATGCGGTTGTTTTGTGAATCTTCTATTTGGCTTGCAAATCAGCATGGGCACTGCCTGTCATCAACTGAGCAGAGTGAAAGAAATCAGAACTGGGGAGCTTTCAGGCGAATTATGTGAGATACCAAGAATGCACAACATATGAAGGAACTTGCGACTGTAGCTGATGCAATACAAGGTTTCAGTGGTAGCAGCAGCAATTGCTTGGCGACAATTCTCCAATGATTGATACCTACAAGCCAGCATGCTTCCTCAAAATGGCGCTCAAAGATGATACATGGAAGAGTACTGTGGAATGTGACAACCCGCCTGGCAAATCAAATATGACGAAAACCTACAGATCATGGCTGAATGATTGGTGTGCATTGTTGCTTGTTGCCCCGTCACCAGGAATAAGAATGACCAGGTTTCCAGTTGTATCTAGGCAACAACCTCCTCCCATGACATCCACAACAAGGTAAATACAATATATTAACATTCGACTACAAAATTCGATCTAATTCTAAGCCAGTGTAGAGTTGAATTGTCATTGTGGTGAGGTTTGGCTATTTGAATATCGTCGTCTGCACTTCGATCGTCCAATTCATGTTTAGCGTGAAAGTACTTTGATAGGTCCAAATCCACGCTAAACATTCACGCTAAACAAGGTCACAGCACCGCACCGCACCGTTATCCCACGAACCATTGCATGCGTGTGCAATAGCACGGTAGCCTTCATTTGGTCCCCTCGAATTGGGTTCCAACGTTGGGATCCAGTTCGATAATTTGTCTAGTACGTCCATTCCCCAAATAGTCGCCCTCTCCTTTCTAGTGTCAATCATTTCGTGAAGGCATCAGCAAGGTTCAACATTCCTGCAATCCACGATACGTCGACAACTCCTGCAGCCACGTTCCACCTGGTGTAATGATAAGCAATCGAATTATGCTTCTTGTTCAAAGTGGATTCGACCATTGTTGAATTTGTCACCACTCTCTCGTTGTCGCAGAATACGTGCGATGGTCCTTCTTCCAAAGGTATTCCGAACATCCTCAATTTGAATCTCAAATGCGTGATCGCTTTGATGCATGACTTCAAAGCAATGAATTCGGAACCAAAAGTACTCGCTTCTACCGTATTCTGTCGCTTGCTGTGCCATAAGATAGGTGCCCGATTGAGGAAAATTATGTACCCTGTATGTGATTTCCGCGTTTTCTTATTGGCGCCATGTGAAGCATCTACCCATGCAGTACTTCCTACACTTTGTCCCCTTGGTTTGGGTGTGTTGTGTGGCATCTCTTCCGTCGCATCTCGGTAGTATGCCTTGAAATCTTCCCTGGAGGATCTCAACTTGGAATAGTCTACGTTTGGCGTCCTCCAGTCGTAATAAAGGGTCAATTTTGGGAAGGTGTCCAAGAAAGCAAATATCCTCAATGCTTGTTCCATGTGTCCTTCCCTTGGAGCTGCTTGATACTGGCTCAGGAGTGATACTTCCAGTAAGATATCGACTCGTCCAATCTCTGTCGCCCATCGTAATATTCCAATCAACTCTTGGAAGTAGGTATGGTCTTCTCGTCCTAATTTGCTTGATCCATCCATCTCCGGTTCATATGCACTAGTCATCGGCGTTGGCGCATTCTTGGGCATTTTCCACTTTGGGTTGTCCTTTAATGTTTCCTTGACGTTTTTGACTGCTGCCACGACGTAGTCATAACTTGACATCGTCCACATGTCGTGTCCATCCAAAGTCTTCTTTCGTAACCTAGCTCCCAAGTAGCTTTCTGGAGGTTCAATCTTCCCTTTCTTGAACTTGAATACCCTTCCAATTCCTTCCATCACTTCTTTGGCTTTCATCGACATACAAAGGATGTCGTCGACGTAGCAAAGGATGTATTCGTAGTATTCCTCGCCGTCAGGTTTCACTGCCGCTCACATCCAAACGTCTGGGCCGGCAGTTGATGAGCTGAAGCCCAAATCCTCCAAAGTCTCCGCCAGGTGTGATCTGAATGCTGCGGATGAACTTTTTAAGCCATATAATGCTCGTCTTACGATAAATACTTTGCCTTCTTCTTCACCAAACTCGGGTCCTGCTACCAGGTAGCACTTTTCGATCGCTGGTGCAGTGAGGAATGCGTTTTGAATATCCGCGCATTGCAAGTTTAATCCGTTTAGCGCTGCTATCATTAGTAGTATCCGAACTGAATCGCGGGACACTACCGTACTGTAGGTCAATGCTGCGGGTGCTTCAGTCTTGTGTCTATCAGCGCAGTACCTTGCTTTCCTTCGGAAGTTTTCCCCTAGTTTCACGTCAAATACTAGGTGTCCCGTGATCTTTTTGTATCCCATCAGCTTCTCTACGTCTCCATCGAATTCTTCAAAAGCGACTCGATTGTTTTTCATCTCCATTTGAATTGAGTCTTGCCATAGCGTGTCCCCATTTGCTTTGTCGATTTCGATGGCCTCTTTGATCGATTTTGGGATACGTATTCCGTACTTGTGCGTACGTTCCCAGTACTTCAATTTTACTTTGCCAAGGAATAGCTTTCGCTTTTGAACAAGGTGTGGGATCCACCATGCAAAAGCAGGTTCGTCTTGGATGCCCTTGCTTATCGCGTAATCGGCCACTTCAATCGGGAAAGACTCCTTCATATCTTTCAAAGGTATCCAATTTGAGGAACCATCTTTCCAAGTAACGTAGAAGTCCCATCCTGCTGTCGTGTGTCGTCTTCGTTGCGTTCCACTTGCGAGGGGATAGAAAGCATCTTTCATCTTTACTGCCTTCTCATCAGAGCAATGTTCCGTGATCTCCTCCATTGGTAAGTGTCTGTGTCCATGTTCGTCCACTTGTGCTAATAAGTTCTCTGCTAGCAAGTTCGCAGCGAGCACTTCGGTGCTTCCATCTTCGTATTCGACTTCGTACTGTCTCGTGTCGAGTAACTGGTTGTTGTTTGCTACACCAATTGGGTTTCCTTCTGCATCAATGATTCTCCTGCGTACAACTGCACGTTGCAACTCCCCTTCTTGTCCCCGTCTTAGGCCAATCTCCATGTTGACGCAGTTCTGTGCGTCGATGTTGTCAGTCTCTGTGGTCCCCTGGAGCGTGCCATCGTCAACATCTTCGGCCTTGATCAACTCGTTGAAGTTGCATTTGAATTCTTTGTCTTCCAATCCGAGGTCGAACATCAATTGTGGCGGTATCTCATCTTTCCCCCAACTGATGTCTCCTGTCCTTGCATCAAGGATTTTGGATACATCGGTTGTCCATTGCGCCATTTGTTCTTTGACCACGTCGGTCTGTTTCTCTGTTTCTGAGATGTTCTGGACAGTGTCAGTCGAGATTGGGCGGCCACTCCTCGGTAATATCCAATACGTCATCATTGGACCCGTCCTGTGTGACACTCCCAACCATCGTCCTATTTCGTTTGGGCCCAAGGCGCCGTCTGTGCGGTAGTATACCCATCCATAAATCGTAAAGTCCATGTATTCTGTAATGTCCGGCGTGATGCCAGTGATCACTTCAAGCGGTACTCGTCCGTCAGAATATCTTGAGTAGTTAGCGGTGATGTTCATGGTATCAACCACATAATCGAGCACAAAGTCCCATAGCCGTTCTGGTATCGCATGCTTGACTATCAATCTGTAGAATCGTCGCTTGAGCTCTCTGATTCCCCCTTCGGCTGGGTTTTCTTCCGGTTGGTATGGTCTGGAGATGTGGTAGTTAATCGCGGCTCTGTTGATCGTTTCCATGAAGCTCGTGTTGCGTCCCACTTGTACCGCTGCTCCGTCCATCGTGAGGTGCTCTGGTATACCGTAGTCAGCTATGAATTTCTTGAGGGTCGGCCCAACTTGCTTGTCGTCCACTTTTGAGAGATGGTGGCAACTGTAGAAACCGCTCTTGTGGAAATAGATCTGGCTTGCGATGTTGCCTCGTATCGACTTGTGGTTGAAATAGGCCGTGTCGGTTGAGAACTTGCCTTTCAGCCTTGGTCTTAGGAACATGCGGTCCGCTCGGTACCTCCTTGCCAGTGGTAGTATGGCGGATCGCGTTCCCCTTTGTAGTGCCGATCTCAAGGTGGCTCGTGCTCTGTGCAAACCGATTCCTAGTCGTTCAGATAGCTTCTCTGCCGTTGCTTTGGTGTGTCGTTCCGTGGATACAAAGGACGGCCTCACAGGTACGTCTGCGAATCGTGCATCATCGTCCATTCGTCCAACTTGTTGGAAGAATCTCTCCCCATCGACTATTGTCTGCTGTACTGTGCGCCATTTGTTCATTCCTTGCATGATTGGATCCAATTGTCTCAACTCAGCTTCGTTGGATCTTGGGTCATCTATTGGGTCTTCGTGGACAATTGAGACTTTCCCAAGTTGTACGGTACCTGGGTTCCAAGGCACTTTGCTCGTCATATCAATGTGGGGGCAATTTGCGAGTTCTTGATCAGTTGGGGCCCTTGAATCGAATAGTAACTTTGTCCCCTTTGCCTTGAGTGCAACGAATATCGGCTTGGTTTCGATGCCAATATTCCTCATCTCATCAAACGGATTATCCCATAGGGGAATTCCGAACTTGCGGACTTGGTTTGGGTTGATCAATGAATGATCTAACCGGTTCCCATAGTAAAGCGCTTCGTTAAATATCAATATGAACGTGTTGCCGCTCTGTGGGCAGTCATAAGCGGTCGCCCCAGATACAATTGGTACATTGGTTGGTGGTAGAGCTGGGTCGTACGCGTACACATCCGCCGATCTTGGTGTGTAGCTCATGATAACAAAGTTCTTGCCAAGGCAACAAGTGTCGGCGTTAGTATCCATTTCATTGCTCGCCGTCGTTCCTGGTGTTGGTTGTTGCACTGGTCGCTGGGATGCGGCTGTGTTGGATGAGATCACCCTTACGATTTGTCTGATCTCACTTATCGCGTTTCAGGTCCTACCGCTTGCCTGTTGGTTGTTTGCCTGTTGGTTGCGTCCGCCCATTGCTGTAGTTCCAGTCGTTCCCATAGTCACTTGTGATATCTGCGTGGCTGCTTTGGCTGGAACTGTAGCAGGTACGTTGTTGGATCTAATCGATGCTACTTCAGCTCGCAATTCCGCCAGCTGCGTTTCCACTTGTTGCGTTTGTGCGGCTTGTCTTGTTGCTCTTCTTGCTGGCAATCCTTGACTTTCTCTGTATGCGGCTCTTTCCTTCGCCATGCGTTCACGTTGTTTGTTGGTAAACGCTTGTAGGTGTGTCCGAGAGAAACGGTAGCTAGGATGGTACCAGATCTTCTCTCCATTACTCAGAGTAATTTCTTCTTCGTCGCGACGTTTGTTGCCTCCTCCATCGTTTCGGCTTCTGCTTCTGTCGCGATCGTTGTCAGCCCTAGTTTCGCCCAAGTATCGTCCCCTATCGGTTGCATTGCTGGTTCCCTGGGGAAACTTTTCTCTCACTGCAGTTCGGTAGATTCGTAATGCCGTCGTGAAAGTCATCAACATCGGTCTTTTGCCAATTTCCGTATCAATTGCCGTCTTGTTCAGTTGTAGAAATGGTGCTGTAACCTTGCTTTGTAGGCTACGCAGTTTCATTGCGTCTGAATGGGCTTCTCTTCCCTCATGTTTGTCGCATGCTGCATACGCTTTCTTTAGCATTTGTTCAAACATGGACCAGTTCATTTTTGGTTTTTCGCCAACGTAACACAGTTCTTTGATGGTGTGTTCAGCTTCGACAATGTCGCTGGCTAGTATCCCTTCGCCTTCATAGTGGGTACGTAGTGCGTTGAATGCTTCTCTTCCATTGCCCTGCAATGTTGATGGCTTGGAGGGTTGCTTCAGCTTCGGTAGTATTCCCCACGATAAACTTCTTGCTGAGAAGGACTAGTACTTTGGCGTTATCCATGATGTATGCTTCGCCAAAGTGTGGTGCCATGTTGATGTAGGTTTCCAAGAAATCTTTGTGCAGGGTGAGCATGCCTGCATCGTTCATTCTCACAATGTAGCTCAGTGGCACACCGTCTCTTCCTGGTATGGTGCGAAGGTAGTTTTCGAACGTTGGGCACCAATCTTCCCATTGGACATCGTTGGTGAAATCTTGTGGTAGTGCTTGTTGCGACATCAACTTGGAGCCATACACGTATTGTTCGTGTGTTTTCATGCGTCTGAGCAGTTTGGCT